CCAGCAGCTCTTCGCCCCGGTTACGCTCCCGGCGAATCATAAAGTACTTGGCTCGATTGCTTTCGCCTGCCCTCGAGCAGCGATCCAGGAAGAAGCGCGGGCGGGGCGAGGAAACGCTATGGGGAGTTCCCAGCTTCTTTCCCCGCCCCGGCTCCGCCCCTTTCCTTAGCGACGAAGGCGGGGATCGATTGGTTGCCCTGGGTTGCCATTTTATGGGAACGAGCGGACCGTAAGAAGAAAGAGGTAACGTGCCTGGTGGACGCGCTCTCTCGGCTCCGCTCCCAAATTGAGCCCCCCTTCTGCTCTTCCTCTTCTCCTCACCCTCCCCTGCCCCACGTCTTCTGTTTGTCGGAAGGGTCCCCCGACCTTGCTTTTATTTCAAGGCCGCAGAATGGCTTCCTAATCAATTCCCGCTTTAAGAAGTTCTGCTTCTCAATGAGGACTAGCCGCTCGAGTGCTCTATCGCGAATTAGCCCACCGGCGGTCCCGGCCCCTCAGAGTCCAATCCCCCTCATTCCCCTTCTCCGGGCCCACGGCGCCCTCATTCTGCCAGAGGAGCCTTCGCTCGCACTGTCGCCGTCATCCTCTTCCGGCACCCCCATGACAGGGGTGGGGGGAGAGACCCCCATATCACCCCATATCTCTTTGGTCCTTTGAGTGCAGCGGTGCTTGCTTCCAACTTCGGACAACGGGGGGTGGATCTAGAGCTGCGGTCCCAGCCTGGCGTGGTTTTCAATGCAGTTTGACCTGTTGGGTTTCCTGCTCTCGGAAAGCAGCCCAACCCCGGATGTATTTGCCTAGAAGTTTGGCAACACCCGAAATGGATCACTGGGCGGCCCGCAGGGTGGGTGTCAGGGGAGACCAGGCTTCCAGGGAGAGTGGGTCGCGGCGCACCGCTGATGCGGCCACCGACAGGAGGCCCCTGCCCAGCTCCCGTGTCTACGCGGCTAGCGAGCCGAGCCGGGGGGGCAGTGAGAGTGCGGGACTGGGACTTGGGAGGTTTGGGGTTTAGTCCCCAGTTGGCCATGAAGCTCACTGGGTGATTTGGGCAGCCGTAGACTCTCAGCCCCAACTACCTCACGGGGTGGTGGTTGAGAGGATAAAAGGGAGAACAGGAGGCCCGTGGAAGCCACCTTGATTTCCTCGCAGGAAAAGAAATGTGTTATCAGTCTGAGAGATAAAAAACTAAGCGACCACAAGTTAGGTGACCTCACCCCAGCTAGTATGGGGCTCCTTTTGTTCTCTTAAGGGATCCCATCTTTTTACATAACTCGGAAGAGAGAAAAACACCACCTTAATTTTGTAAACATTTCCAGAATTATTATTCTGTAACAAAAGCAGCAGAAAGACCGCTGGCAGGGTAGGCAAACTATGGCTCTCCGAATGGTTTGGGTTACAATTGGGCCATTTCTAGCCAGTATAGCCAATGGCAAGGGTAGGAGTTGTAAGTCAGAACACCTGGTGTGCTGCAAGTTGCCCACTTTTCCTTAAAGACTACCAGGTACAATCTTTTGCCTGTTTAAACAGAAAAGGTTCTGCAGCTCCCAGCATTCCCCCAGCCATGGAAATTGTAGCATTTCTTCTGTCTAAACATGTATGGGAACACATCATAAACAAATTTATCATGGCATAATCTTTAATGGATGACAGCCCACTTACTTTTCCTAATGTTGTGGATAGAATTACATTGAAAGTACAGCCGACAGAGCAGACTTACCTGAGAGCAAGTGCAAGTAAATATAAAAGGACTTCTAACTGTTTGAGTAAATACCTTTATGACTGCTGTCTGGTCCACATTCTCTTCCGTTTTTTAAAGGTGCAATCCTATGCCTGCTCAGACATTCATATGGGAGGGGAACACTGGGTTGCTTGAGGACTCTGTGTTTAAAAAAAAGGCATAGGATCGCATGCTTTCTACTCCAAAGCCTCCAAATTTGGACACTGTGGAGGGAGAGCGGAGAAGGCTTAAGGAGGCACAGGACTTTGCACATCCCAGCCTTGCAGTTTCCTCTCCTTTCCATACACGATAACACCCTTTTTTCTGTGCCAGTGTTGCTCCTGACCTCAGAGGCAGTTGGCAAATTCTTTCCACACCAGCTGTGGGGAGGTAGCGGTTGAAGTGTGCCGCCTCTGACTTCAAAAGGGTTTCTCTGGACAACCCTATGATCCTTGCTCAGGGACTGCTGGTTTCTTTCCAAGTGATTTTTTAAGAAAAGTGCTGGTCTCTTTTCAAAAATATAATAGAAGAAAGAGCAAAAAATAAACCAAAGGCAGCAAGTAACTCTGCTTGAAGAGTTTAAGCTCTGCTTTATGGAGGCTGCTTTTGTTTTTGTTGTGGAGGAAATCTTTATCCTTTACAAGGGCTTTTTCCAGGGGCTTGCATTTCTACATATTCTGTTAGCCAACCACAAGGTGGCACTACGGTATAACTGTATAGCAGATTTTTATTTTTTTAATGAGAATTTTGTTCTAGTTTATTGAAAATTTAATACCAGATTCCTTGGTTTCAAAAAAAAAAACTTGAAAAAGGTTGGAAAACTCAGGAGAGGCCTTCTTCTGAGCAACAATGTTTTACAAAAGCTCTGCACACTTCTGTGAGTGAGGGATCACCAGCACACAATAAATGCCTAATTTAGAGAAGTTGTAAGAGATGGGAATGTAGAAAAGTTGCCTATAGAGGGATGTGGGAAGAAAATGGGCTGTAGGAAAGTGGTAAAATGACATTTCTTATTGCTTTAAGTAAAGTGTCTCCCAATTTGTCCCTGGTCACTGTCCTGATTAATTATCCTCATCGCAGCAGTTTTCATATCTGAAATTTGAAAGTTTCCCACAAAATAAGTATTATTAAAAAGAAGTGTTAAAGAGAAGTAACTTTCCATGTGTGATGGTTTTAAAGTAATGCTTCAGAACTACTTTGTGTTAACATCTCAGATGAGCAAGTTCCTTACTGAATGTATTGTTGGGGAATTTACATTAATTTAGAGTGCAATCTTAATTGCTGCAAATGCAGTGCTTGTAAGACCCTGAATTTGGAAGCGTACAAGCATCCATTATACAGCAGAAAGAGCAATGGAGGAGATCTGCCTCTCCCCCTCCACATTTTAACTGGATGGTCAGACGTTCCAACTTCAGGGAATAAGGTAGTGCGAGCTGCAAGTGGTGGGTAGGGAATCACAGCAAAGATTCCTAACTCAGAATAAGAGTGCCACATTATCCTGTTCCCCCACCTCCACCCTGTTGATTTTTAGGGGCCATAAGATCAGTCCTTAAAGTTACAATAGACGTTACCCAGGCCAGGGACAGTGTTCTGGCTTTCATTAAAGCTACACTTTAAAGCTAGACTTTAGCAAAGCTTTCAACATAGTGCCACACAACATCCTGATAAGCAAGTTAGCAAAAACTGACTAGACAGAAAGACTATTAAAGGTAAAGGTTTCCCCTTGACGTTAAGTCCAGTCATGCCTGACTCTAGGGGGCGGTGCTCATCTCTGTTTCCTGGCCGAGGGAGCCAGCATTTGTCCGTAGACAGTTTCCATGGGCATGTGGCTGGCATGACCGAAGTGCACAGAACGCTGTTACCTGCCCGCCGAAGGGGTGCCTTTTTATCTACTGGCATTTGCAGGATTTCGAACTGCAAGGTTGGCAGGAGCTGGGATGGAGCAATGGGAACTCACCCTGTTGTGCAGATTCGAACTGGCAACCTTTTGATTTACCAGCCCAGCAGCACAGTGGTTTAAACCACTGCACCACCTGCAGTCCCTGAAAAACTATTAGGTGGGTCCAAAATTGGCTGCTAAACCAGACAAAAAAGTGCTCCTCAATGGCACCTTCTCACATTGGATGGAGGTGACTAGTGGGGTGCCACAGGGTTCTGTCCTGGGCCCAGTGCTCTTCAACACCTTTATTAAGGATTTGGATGAGGAAGTGCAAGGAAAGATCATCAGATTTGCATACAATACAAAACTGTAAATGGCAAACTCCCTATAGCAAATGTGGATTAGCAAACCCCCTACAAGACAGAATGAAGATCCAGGGCGATCTGATAAACTTGAACACTGGGCTGAAAGCAACAGAATGAAATTCAATAAGGACAAGTGCCAAGTTCTCCACCTAGGAAAAAGAAACCAAATGCATCAATACACTGGGGGGAATATATGGCTCAGCAGAACTGAAAAAGCAAAAAGATCTCAGAGGAATTGTGGACAGTAGGTTAAATATAGGTTAAATATGAGCCAACAATGCAATGCAACTGCAAAAAGGGCAAATGTTATTTTGGGATGCATTAATAGAAGTATTACTTTCAAATCACGAGAAGTAATACTTTCCCTATACTCTTCACCAGTCAGACTTCATCTAGAATACCGTGTCCGGTTCTTTGCACCAAGATTTAAGAAAGATGAAGACAAATTAGAAAGTGTCCAGAGGAGGGCAACAAAAATGATCCAGGGTTTGGAAACACTGCCCTATGAGGAGAGACTGAAAGAACTGGGCATGTTCGGCCTTGAGGAGAAGACTGAGGGGGATATGATATCCCTCCATAAGTACCTCAAAGAATGTCATGAAGAGGAAGGTCAGGATCTCTTCTTGCTGATACCAGAGTGCAGGACACGGAATAATCAATTCAAGCTGCAACAGCCCAGATTCAGACTAGATATCAGGAAAACTTCCACACTGTAAGAGCAATATGACAGTGGTACCAGCTGCCTAGAGAGGTGGTGGGCTCTCTCATACTAGAGATACTCAGAAAGAAACTGGGCAACCTGTTGAGTGGGATGGTGTAACGTGGTGCCCTGCAACAGCAGGGGGCTGGACCCAATGGCCTTCATGGCCCCTTCCAACTCTGCTATTCTGTGATTCTGCATTGTTTATTGGGCAAGTAGTAAAATTTACAGATAAGTCAGCTTTCTTTTTTTTTATTAATACTGAACCTGCTTTAAGTTTTTGTTGCAGTTCTATAAACATTCTTCATAATCTTCAAGGACCAGAATTTTAACTAGATGTAGAGGCTAGAAACTATTCATCCAATAATTTATGAGGTCAGAAGATGGGAAGATTCTGTGGCCTCCTTTATTATTGTTTCAGCTTCCTCCATATGCTTAATGGCTCTCTATTATTCTGGTTTGTGTTGTACAGGTCCAGGTTAAGGAGATTCTTACCAGAGGAGAATTTGGGAGTGTGTTGATGCACAGTAAATGTGGTATGGCATTGCAGCATGACTAGGATCTTAACTTGCAATTCAGGCCCAGTGTGTTACTTAACCAATCACTCTGATGCGTGTGTGCCTCTGTTTCAGAGAGAACTTTCAACGAAGATATCCATGGAAATGGCCAGTGTAAGTATTATATCGTGTTTGTATTTTTACAATTACCATACAGATAAATATGCCTGTAATGAGTATTTTTATTAACATTTTTGTGTTGTGGGTTCAGTAGTTTATGTGACATGCAAAGAGTGCTCATCCTTCAAGTGACAAACCTGTGAAGACAGAAGTGAAAACCGTTAGACTGGAGTATTTGCATTTAATATGTTATAAATTGCAATGTGTTGTATAACTGAATTGAATCTGTAAAAGATGTGTAGCTCCTTAATAAAAATGCTTTATGTAGTAATTTGCTTTGCTACTTGAATAGCTAGATGTTGGATGACCACTGGGAAAGAAACATCAATAGATGCTTTCACCATGTTGTAAATACGTCAAGCATTCCTACTTTATTTGGTAGGGCTGCCTACACATGGAAAATTTTGGAAGGGAGGGAGGAAGACAAGCACTGTAAAAACATAGGATAATATCCAGAGGGCTGCTTTTGTGAGAGCTCGTCTGCTTGCCTGGAGTGGAGGTGGCTTCTGCCAGCCCACTGTAGATCCTTTGCCATTCTAAAGTCTTTTAGAAAGTACTCAGGAGGCTGCAGTGTGAGTGTAAGCATGTTTTCTTCTTTAGAAAAATGCTGCTTTCATTGCATAGTTTTAAGTGTCGTACCCTTACCACATACTGTTACTGGTTCAAATACATCACAAATGTGATGAACAACAATGGTTCATTCATATACATGTTAAATAGTGGTAGTGATCAGAATTGAATGGTTTATACTAGGTATCATGGATTTGATTTGGGATTGAGTGCAATATCACGTTATCTTGCACTTCATGCAGTGTAAGAAACAAAATGTATTACATAAGGACAGCTCAGTGGACTAAATATATGTATCTGTAGTTTGCTTACATTTCTGCATGCTCTGTTTTACTATAACTGCAAGTGCATTCATTAAGGTAGCTCTGCAGCCTGTTACTTTAAGTAGGAAGAACTCAACCCCTTCAATTTTCCTATAATATGATGTGAGACAAAACAGAATTATAGGACAGTAACTTCAACTTGTCAGTGCACTGTAGGTACATAAAACTGTTCTGATAGGTTATTGCAATTAGAAATTATGTGCTCAAGGTTTAAGAAGGGAGTATAAGCAAGTGGTCACCTTTGCATGATGTCTGTTTGCTTCTACTGGTGAACTAACCAGGAAGCAAAAGCTTTGTGTTGCATCTAAACTGGGACTCTGGTTTGTTTCCTCTCTAAACCAGAATCTGACAATATGGTTTGGAATTAGTTCATTCCCTCTTTGACAACCCAGAGAATAAGTTTTGTTTTTTAAGTTTTAGCCAGATACTTGTCTTTTGTTTTTTTAAGACCTTGACTTACAACATTTACAAATGAATGAAGTATCCTAAAAACTTTTCTTGTGCTGAAGATGGTTCTGTATGAGCTGCTAACAATTTTGTAATAATTTTCAAGAGTTTAGAGAAGGTTGGGATTCAAGATAAAAAATGGAGCACAGTGTCAACCAAATAATCAGTAGTGAAGTAGTTAATGTTGGTATTTGTTTTCACCAGACTTCAGAATAAAACTAAATTGAGACAATATTGCCTTTGGAGCCCTGTTGATGCAGACCATGTTCAGATTCAGGAAAAAACAACTGAAGAAATTTTTGGTTTCATGTTTTTAATTTTTTCTTCTTTTGATATGAGACTTTGACTCTTGAACAACAGTACAGTACAGCTGTCCAGGGCTGTGATTGAATTTTCTACCAGCATATAAAAATGGTCAAGCACTAAAGCTAGCTTATCCTCAACTAGTTTGCCAGCTTTGCAGTTGAAAAGGTGGTATCTTCAGATAAAATTGATGAATACATCTATTTTTTAAAATATGCTTCCTTAACATACTTCCAAGCACATATATATATGTTTTACTTTTTCCCTAGTTAGAAAGTGCTACATACTTAGAACAGAGATCTTTTGGTCTACAGTTCCCATAATACTTTATTATCGGTTACAGCCTCTGGGAACAGCTGTTAGGAATTGTAGTAAAAGAAAAATTCTAGAAGATGCAAGATTGTCTACCCCAGACCCAGAGGTAGCATTTTGACAAAATGTTGAATACTGTGCACATGTTCCAAAAGTGTTAATTTTTTGCCTTATTTCAATTTCTTAAATGGTAATACAGAACATTTGAATGCAATAGTGGAGTTTTCTACCTCACGGATTAAGAAATTGTGTATTGTGTTGGTCATTTTAATGTGGATCCTGTGCTATATTCAGTTCTCTTTGTATCCTCTTTAGGTGCTTTGTAACAGAGCTAGAATGGTGACATACCTGCCAGGATTTTATTCTTTGGTTAGAAGAGTTGTAACTCCCAAGTCTTTTTCCACAGCAGGATCATCGGACTCAGATGAGCCTTCTGTCGCTGCTGAACCTCCTGACATATGTAAGGACAATTCTAAAAAATTTTTTACATCAATTAGCATTTAAAAATCATATAACTGAGGGAATAATTCATATATACATGAAATTTCATCTGTATTTCATGATACTTGGAACTAAATATCATAAAATATGATGCTGTTTGGAACTAAGTTTCACTAAGAGCAGGGACCTAATTTCTCAGATTCTTCCTTGAACTATCTGGTATAATATAGCAATATGAAAAAAAAAATCTTTTACAACAGGAATGATGTATGTGCTTTTAAATGACATAAATCTAATCTGACTTTTGACAGGTCCAAGAACTGTGTGGCCAGATGAAGTAATGGGACCATTTGGTCCCCAAGACCAAAGATTTCAACTACCGGGTAACATAGGTTTTGACTGTCATCTAAATGGTACCACATTTCAGAAGACAGTGCAAACTCATAAAAAACTGCCTGACATATTAGTTGAACCTTTGGCAAGTGAAAGGCATGGATTTGTGATGGCTCAATACATCAGTGAATTCCAGGTAAGAAGCTACGTGTCAGTGCCACATGATCCATGGGTACTTATCTGGGAGAAGGGTTCTCTTCTCTCAGGGATAAAACTATTGTGTGGCCCAATAAGGCCCAGTTCTTACTGTGCCATAGATGTCAGTATAACTACTTACTGGACAAGAAGTTCTGCTTTGTGAACTACAGAAAGTTGTGAGGCTTGGTTCAAGCATTTTTGTTCAAGCATTTTCCAGTACGCCTCTCTTTCCATTTAAATAACTGGTGGGCTAGGGTGGGCTAAATGTTTGAACAGTGACTCCTAATGTATTCTGACACCATAAAATGAAGGTAGCAATATTGGAGTAGCAGTGATGAATCTACTGCTCAGGAGCAGTTGTGTTCTTGGCTTCATGCACATCAGTGAGAGGGCTTTAAAATACTTGGTGTAAAAATTGCATTGTCTACCTTTTACCTTGAGAAGATGTTGGGTAATAGTTAACACATCATAGAATAATGCAGATCAGTCAAAGTATCCCATCCCCTCCTTCCTCCTTGCTTCTTTTAACTTATGGCTTATGGACGCTCTCAGCCTTTATGCACAACTCTTGACTATCAAATAATAACCAATAATATTTTTCAAGCTTATGTTGTGGGACAACACTGCAAGTTTACTTAGAAGTCAGTCCCACTGAATTCAGTGGTACTATCTTCCAGGTCAGTCTGTATAGGATTTCAGCTTGAGACTAAATTCCTCAAAAGCAAGTAAAGGGACCTAAGGCACATCTTTTGCTTGCCTACTGACTACATTACCAGATACGCAGTCCAGACTGGCTGCTACAAGTATGTGTCATGATATTACAATGATATTGCAAAGCATTTCATACAGGGATGCTATTTAGGAAACGTATAGGATTCTATTCCGCTTTGGGGGAGTACTTGGATTTATGGCCAGTTCCAGACTCTAAAGACGTTGACTTGCAATTATTCGACTGTTTCACAACTTTTTCATCAGAAAATACTTTGGCCACATTCTGATAGATTCTGTGGCATAAAGATCTAAATTTCACCATCACTTCATATGTACATATCTCTAGCCTAGTCCGTTGGCCTTCACTGTAACTCTGCATAAATTGATTGTGTAGCCTGGAACTCAACAAGCACGCTCCTTTATCCACACATTGCTGGATAATATATTTAATAGTGAAAGTGAACTGCATCTTTGTGCTGATCTTGTCAAGAGCACAAATCCTACTGTGTTTTAACCGTGCTCATTCATTCTGTGGTGGTATTCTGAGATGAAATTACCAATACTAATGAACTGAGCCTCTCTAACCTTGTGTCCTGATTTTTGAGGTGAGCACATTAGTGCATAGCTACCAGTGACCTAGGAATATAATGTCGTGTTGGTCGCCTGTAGCGTATCATAAAGAGGGAGGCACTTCAGTTGGTCAGAGTTGAAGGATACAGCTTTTTCCGAGTTTTAGCATTCTAAAACTGGCACAGCATTCTATACCAAATATTCCATCACACTTGCTATTGTATATTACTTCAACCTAATAATAACCTGTTGTTATTTCTTAGAACCGTGATTTTCCTCATAAACAACAAGAAGTTAGTAATGCCAAGAACTACTTTGAAACAGCAAGGGTAGAATGTGCAATACAAGCATGCCCAGAACTGTTGCGCAGAGGTATGTGTGCATTTTCTCTCTGGCATTTTCCCAATTTTAATTATCTTAGCTAATTTCATAATCAAAGGGAAGAGTGCTTTCTTGTATAAAAAGAGTACTTTTGATCTTTGCTGCAGCTTCAGAGTATTGTGATCAGTTTTCTTTTCAAAATCTTTGTTGTTGTTTTTTATGAAATAGTATACTTTAATAAATGAGCAACATGTGTAACTCAGCAATAAGGCAGTATTTCTTTCAGGAGTGTATCTCTCTTCATTATATCTGGGGTTGCTGAGTAATACAATGGTTTTTTTTTAAGACTTTGCTTTTTTAAAAATTGGGTGGTGGAAGAAAGCAACTGTAAAACCAAGTTCTTTCATTGATTTCTTACTTCTTTGCAGATATTGAGTCAATGTTTCCGGAAGTAAAATCCAATAATCTAACAGTGCTTACAGTTACACAAAAAACATTAAATGACATGACTGCCTGGAGTGAAGAGGTAGAAAATGAGCGAGAAGGTCTGATAGAAAATGTAAGTCTAGGTGTCTTATGATGAAAAATAATATGCTTTTCATTCACAATGAGACTTTTTCAAATGTGCACAAATGTCCGTACGTTATAATTATAGAGGGATTTTTGCAGTGTTTTTCACACACATGCCTTTTCCACTTTAGTTCTCAACCCACAATCAGCTCCTTTTGTAGGTTGTGTGGCATGATGTGGGAACCTGGGCTGCTGGGTTTCTAGAGACTAAACTTATTGGTGAACCTGTATTTTGTCAACTGCTTGGTTATCTAGCTTCTAAAGAGCCCAGTAGTTCAGTTTTACCTATTCAGCTGCACAACCTATAAAGGAGTCAGTTGTAGTTTTTGTGCTCAAGCAGAAGTGGTAGGCACACAGAAGGCAGCTGTTTGCACACCCCGCCCAACCCCACACTTTTAAATCAATGGTCTGTCATTATGTGCAACTGAATCACTAAGAAGGAGTAATATGGTGCTCCCTCTGATACTCCAACTTCAAAGAATATTATAGACATTGTGTAAAACAGTTCTCATTGTCCAGCAGAAAGCACATTTCTCTTTAGCCTAGGCAAGCAACAGGTTCGTGCAACACCAGTTCAACAAAGGATTTCTTTTGTGCGCATTTTTGCATTGGTTGGATTGATTTCAGCAACCCAAACATTTTCTTCTTGAGACTGTGCTAAAGAGACTCAAAAAAAGGACATAGACTTTACACTTTATGTTGTGAGCCGCCCCGAGGCTTCGGCGAATGGGGCGGCATAGAAATGTTTTAATTAATAAATAAATAAATAAATAAATAGACTGCGTAAAATACCATGAGTTAATGAAACTGCTTTAAAAATACTGCTTTCTGAAAACATGGTTATATTTGGTTCTTGTATTTAAAATTCCTCTTTGTACAAGACAAAGTAGCCCCAAACTATTTTATATGTACCCACTTTCTAGTGAGACTGCATGCTGTAATGTTTTGCATTTAGTTTCCTCAGTGAATGTTTGGATCCTAAATCCTGCTTGTATTTACTATAAAGCCTACATTGGGTTTAGCCACTAGAGGTCATCCTTCCTTAAATCCCATGGTTTTTTGGTAGCTGGTTACTTGAATTTAAGAAATAATTGCATCCTGACAGATCAGTGCTTACTGCTGGGTATATACTATATAATGGTATTTGCTGGATGTGTTTTCTTTACTTAAATAGCTTTCAGTTAACAACAACTAGAAAGCCGTTCCCTTCACTGTATTTGAATTTTTTTACAGTCGCAAATAGCTTATATACAGTTTAAGATTATGTGGGCTGGAGAAGAATATATTGTTCAATTATCCCTGTGAAAACAGCATACAGAGGAGTACTCTATTTTAGTGTGTTAGTGTGTCCCTGTCTCTATGTTAGTCATGGTCTGTTGGTCTTTGGCATTGTAATCTGGTCTAATTATATCTTAATTGTCGTCCTCCTTCCTTGTGCACCTTCCTGTCAGTTCTAATATGTTAACTGTAAGGGTGCTGGAATGGTAGACATAACCTTCTGGCCTAAAGGTTACTAACAGCAAATTCACAATAGAATGGGCTGTTTGTTTGCATTGTAGGCAATCTGAAATAAGTTTGGGGGACTAACTTAGCATGAACTACTTGGGCTAGAGTAATGAGAGATAGTTGCGGGCAAATGAAGGTGTTGCAGTGCTGAAGACTCACGTTGTTTTAATTAACATCAGTTAGAGTGCCTATTGTGAGACGATAAACTAGGATCAAAAGACTACAGTGCATAAGACATGTTTGTATATTGTGTGTTGGTGTTTTATTGTCTTAATTTAAAATTGAAATGGGCAGATTAGACCTCTGAGCTTTAGCTTAATAAGAAAAAGTAGGTCCTCAGTGAAGATAAACTTGTTTTACTTTTAGGATGATTCATCATCAGAATTGCATTGCAATATATGAATGTATGGATCTCTCCATTAGTATGTGTTACAGGACAAATAGCAAATGTATTGATTGCAAATAGTATGGCTCATGGCAATTGTTAAGCTAAGATTAATATAAAGATAAATATCTGTATATATATGTATTTTGAATATTTCATATTATCTAAACTTGTTGTGCTCAGTTGCATAAGTTGAGGCAGAAGTGTATTTACTCATCGGCACTGAATTGCATGCCATGCTTGTGTAATATACCTTCTGCTTGTGCAACCATTGGAAAAACACAGTATCATTAATGAAATCTTGCCATTTGCTTCAGCCAGTCTAAATGCTAATTAAACTTTAAAAATAACAAATAAAATAAACTTCCCTGGTTTGGATCATTATATCTTGACATATATGCAGGCCTTTTGTCCGTGCACATAGTTCCTTTCTTCCTTTCATAGTCATAGCATGACCAATCAAACTAGGAAGCTTTGAACTAACCATAATTTCCCCTTCTGTTTGAAGGAAAAACCATGATTAAAAGTTTTGAGACAAGGCAGGATATTAAACCAACTTCAGGTTATATGGATATGTTCAGAAGTAAGCCCCTTTGAGTGCAGTTGATTTATTAACTGACAAATATAAGGGATTAAAGGCTAAACCCCTTATGGTTAATCAGAGACCTTCTTATTTGATTGTGCCGTGAAAGGACAGCAAAAGCCAAAATATGATTATCTGATGGTGTCCAAAGTATTGAACATCTGGAATACAAATTGACTCAGGAAGGCATTGCCTATACCAAGTGAACCTCCTAGATCACAGTCAGCTTCTACAGCAGTTCATATCCCTTGTATTGGGCATTTTCTTGATATGACTAATGCACTTCCTTTTGCCACAGTGCTAAGAACACATACATATGAGGACCTGTGAGTGTCAGGTTGTCACTTGATTCCCCTGTGATAAACTCGCATGTCTGAACCTGGCAAGTACCTTGATCTGGTGATTTAAAGCACACTTCACGACCCTAAAACAAGCTATGGCAACCATAATTAGGGAAATGAGCTAGCCTGCTATCAACATATCCAGGGTGGTGCTGGCTAACAAGCCACCATGGTTTATTAACCACTCTCACATGGTATGAATTTTGCCAGAGTTCCAGCTATAATCAAAGTTTTCTTCCACACCCTTATGTAACCCCTTTTGAGGCTTTCTTTCAGGCTTTTCTCCTGAAAGAAAAACATATATTTAGAGGTTAACACAATCTTTGCATATATCTGTTTTCAAAATACTTGCTATAGGTTTTGGGAGATACTACCATTCGTGCCTGACACTATGGCACACTGTTGTTATATTTAAAATGAATGTATAAGAAATTTCAGGATTGCAAGGGGGGGTTATACACTATGAAAACAGACAAAACTTTGGAAAATATGTAAGGTCTATCTGTTTAATTTTTTGAAATATGAAGTTAGCCAGTATGATGCTGCAATCCATATAAGCAATCCCATTATCCAAATGGTACAAAACTATTAATCCTTGACTAACACACATTATTTCTTCTAAGCTTCATGTAACCATAATATTTCAATATAGGTTATCAATTTTAATCCTCTTAATACTGTCATTCAGCTTTTTCAACCAGAAGTATGTTCAGACGTGCATTAACTTTGTGCAGGGAGAAGCAAAAGGCATTAACCTTACTTGTATTGAGCATCTTTCTATTTTTCCTGTTCTAGTTTATCAACGGTGCCAAGGAAATTTGCTATGCTTTATCTGCTGAAGGCTACTGGGCCGATTTCATTGACCCAACTTCAGGATTGGCAGTAAGTATTTCTACCAATGGTAGAGAGAAGATTAAGCAGCATTCATCTCAGGCAAGCTAACAATGGAGTATCAGTTCTGCCTGCCTGCTGTTTACTGCTAGTTCTTCTTGAAGCCATTCGTAGGCTTACTTGAATTCATTTTTGTAGCCTTCCATTTGATGTTTGTGACAGTCCGTCTCACTTTCCAGCCATATCAAAGAAAGCCCTATCATAGTTGGCAAATTAAGAATTAGTAGAATTTTTGTTTGCTTGCAGTTGCCACATTGATATTCTCCCTTTCCTCCAAGGAGTTCAGGGAGGTACATTTGGTTTTCCTCACTTTCTTCCCACAACACCCATGTGAATGTTATAGGTTAGGTTATGGAAATGACAGACTCGGGTCACCCAGCTAGCTTCACGTTGAGTGGGTATTTCAACCTAAATCTTTCTCATCTTATTCTAATGTTCCCCTGCACTGATTCTTGTTCTTCTTTTGAACTATTAAAGTATGCAAGGTTCATTCAGATCATGATGGTGATGTGTTAAGGATGGTAGAGGCTTCCTTGATTCATTCATGTGCAGCCATATCAATATCATTTCTAATTTGTTAATCATTGTGAGGGAAGTTGCCATATCAGACTCTATACCAAGGTACTACGAATATACCAGATATAAACTATCGGTAAATTCAGTCATATAAAAAGCAATGCCTTACCCTTAGTAAGGGTATTTTATATTCCCTGACTAAGTGTGTCTATGAGTTTTCCTTACACTTGAATCTTAACAGTGCTGATGTGGATACTTTGCTAGAATGTGCTACTGCAGTATGTGGCATGCTATTGATTCAAAGTTCCTTAGTGTAAGAATCAAAAACACATTTTTGATATAAATATAGATGAAGCAATGAACCTGTGTCATCATATGATCTTGCAGGGAATTTCTAGTTAGTATGGAGAATGGTGCATTATAATTACTTTTGCACCAGCATTTTTAGAAGACTAACAATTATAGTATAAAGCATACAAGTACCATACTAAAGCATTTATGTCTGAACTTAATGTCATTATATGCTGAAATACATTCAAGAATGTCACTATAAAGATACTTCAAGTTTTCTTTTTCCCCCTTACAGTTTTTTGGCCCTTATACAAACAGCACCCTTTTTGAAACGGATGAACGCTATCGCCATTTAGGATTCTCTGTGGAAGACCTTGGTTGCTGTAAAGTTATTCGTCATAATCTCTGGGGAACACACGTGGTGGTAGGAAGCATTTTCACTAATGCCACTCCTGACAGTCCTATCATGAAGAAACTGCGTGACAATTAACTACATCTTCTTACTTAAGAGTTGCTCAATAAACACTGTTGGGACATACTGAGCGCTTAATTACACTGATTTATAGATAATAAAAGACCTGTTATTTATTTTTTATGTTCATGGGATATGTAGTCTCTGCACATGATTTATCAGGTAGTACCTTTACTTGAAAGGTAGGTCTATGTGATGTAGTATTCAATATTTTAAAGTGTTACTTTCTGATATTTTAAATAAAACAAAACATCCACAATAAATCCTGTTTTGGAATACAAATCCTCAACAGTTTAATAACATTTCCATTAGTGTGTTCCTGATTATTAATTAAAATTGAGCAGACAGTAGTCTTCCATTTTTATAATTTTGAGCAAAGTATTTTTAGTAGGAAGGAAAACAATCTCAACCCTTCATTTATACTAGCAGTACCTTATTTCTGTTTTCCATGTTTTAGTTGGAATCTGTTCCAAGCAAGAGTCTGTGTGTCTGTCTTCATGAGGAATATAAGCACGCAATATTACCAGCCTGTCTTTTAAAGGCCAGCTTCAATTTTCCCTACAGCTACAACAGCTAAATATGTCTGATATGTAACATGTTTCTAATTGGCCTCATATTCTTAGTCATAGAAATCTGTATGTAATTGCATCGCACATCAGCATGTCATAACAAGATACATTTTAAAAGTAGACTGAAATTCTGTACCACTCTAGTTTAGAGTAGGTCCACTGAACTCAGTAGAACATATTTCTGAGAAGACGGGATTGCACTGGTAGTAAAACAAATTATTCCAGTGTAAATAAGAAAATCAGTTTTTATACTAAAGACTCTTTTCTATCTTGTTTCTACTAACAAACATAAAAGAATGTAATATTTTATTTGTATTAGCAAGCAAGATAGCTGATTTCCCCTTTGCGGACCCTGCCTTGAATACAGATATATATTCTGTCAGTAGAAGTCTTTTTTGTTTGAATGAGTACTGCCCATTGAGCCATGGTCATTGTACCTGCCCTCGTTGTGGGGTGTGTCTGTGTGTACACTCAGTGCTTGGGGTATTCATTGCTTTTCAGAGCAACCCACTGGATTGCAGTAAATGTCCATGTAACATCATGGGTTACTTGGGTTAGCATTCCTTATCTGGATGCCTGCTGTTGCACCAAAGCTGTTTCATAAAGAAATAAGCTATTTTTTCAATAGACTTCTTTGAAAGTTCACGGTGGTGGTGGTGGTGGTTAAAGATTTCTGTATGGTCAAGTCTTTGGTTAGATTTTACTTAGATATACACATACTAAGTATATGTAATATATGTGTGTTTATATCATTTATACTTTTTTTTTCATGTAGTCTTGCTCAAAGGTGCTACCTGTTGGCCAATACTCTCACTATCTAAAACTTGGTATAGGAATGCAACAGAATGAGATACCAGAATGGACTTTTAACTGGAAGGTGATATAAGCATCAGTCAGTGGATTGTATCCACTGCCACACGAGTGGAATTCCATTTGTGCAATGGAACTTGCCCATCTTCTCTTCCCCTGTCCTCCATCAAAACCTGCCTTGGATGGTCTCCCATCCCTCCAGAGCAGATTTCAGGGGGATGCAGGTGAAATGAGGAATCCAGTCACCTGGTGGATGCTATTTTGTAGGCTACCGGTGAAGAAATCACAATATGAGGGCTCCTTTGCCTCAAATAAAAAACTTCCAGTGGGTAGAAAGCAGGGAAACATAGAAACAGAGCGAGTCAGAAGGGGTCTCCCGAGCCATCTAGTCTGACCTCCAGTAACAGCCGGCTCCGGAAGTGGTATGGATTAACCCTTTTCCCTCATGTTGTAGTTTCAGTGGCACCTGAAGCAGTGCAATCTTGTTACCTCATCCTGCCGCATGTGTTGATCAAGCCTATTTGTTTGTTTGGTAGTAATCAGTTCTGTAAAAATCAGAACTTTTGATGAACTGTTAATAAAGACTGACTTAAATACCTTTTAAGGGCAGCCTAGTCCTTGAATGATCAGAGGTGTGAATCATGACTTTGAGAAAAGCAGCACTGTGTCACCTGCACGATACCACTGTGCCTTATTTGCTTCTAAGTAGCACAGGCAGTGGTTTAGTTCAGCTTGGTTCTGACTCTTCACTTTCAAAAGGCCAGACATGTGCAGCTCCAGAGCTGTGGCATACAAACTGAGCATTGGTTTGCTACAGCCTGCCAGCGTTTTTTTTTTTCCCCCTTAAGCTGCACAGAGGTTTAAACATGCTATAAAATGTCCCAGTAAAATGCAACATTTGGATCACAGTTATTTGTTTAGTTCTTTGCTTCAGATAGTTCAATTTAAATACCTGTGGTGTATGGGGACAAAAAAATTAAAACGAACCTTTTCTTTGCCTTAATAGAAGTAATATAAGCATGCAAATTAGAGCTCTGTGCATCAAGGGCGAGCAGTGCATGGGCCAAAACATCTGCAAAGGCTCAAGTACCTAAAGCAGTGGAACATTTTCCAGTGCAAACTGAAAACACTGTCATGCATTCTTTTTAACTCCACCTCACTGATGAAGGGAAACTCCCAGTAAATGCAACAGAAGCCTGGTATGTGCTTAAAGTTGAGTATATTTTGAGGCTATGAGGGCAGCAAAGAAACAACCTCACTGCCTCTAACCAGTCTTCCCTTTGTCACCCAGTGGAGCTTTTCAGGATTGTCAAGAGCTTGTTAAAGTTTGGTCCCAGGGACACCTTAGAACCATCCACCTACTGGAGTTTACTTGCTCTGAGCCCTTCCAGGGGAAAAAAAAATCACTTAATTTTTCCAAGATATGAATAACAGTGTTTAGCAATTGAATTTGTGGAGATATCCAGAGCACAGCCTGGCCCAGTTTTATTGCATGAAGTTCTGTTGGTACAGCTCAAGGATATGAACAAAGGGCTTGGACCGGTTTGTGCAACCCCTTCTGTACTAGTTCCTTTCTCCTCCTGGCTTTGGCATGCAAACAGACTTAGTCATCCTGCATGATGACCTATCCTGGGGGAGAGAGAGAGAGTGCAACCCTGTTGTTACTGCTGGACCTTTCAGTGGCATCCAGTGCCTTCAACCATGGTATCCTTCAGGGGCATTTTTCTGGGGTATCTTCTGAGTTGGGACTTTGCATTGCAGTGGTTTCATTCCTACATAGAGGGCCATCCCCAGGAGGTGGTGCTTGGGGAATACTGTTCACCCCCATGAATTCTCCAGTGTGGAGTTCTGCAAGGGTCCATTCTGTTTCCCATGCAATTCAATATCTACATGAAACCACTGAGTGGGGTTACCCAGAGTTTGGAATAAGTTGCCATTGGTATGCTGATGACATGCAGCTCTGTTTCTCCTTTTCACCCTCAGCAGGTGAAGCTGGATGTGCTAAACTGGTGTCTGGACTGAAGGAAGGCTAACAAACTCTCTCCAGACAGACTGAGATACTATTGGTGGGTGGTTCCTCTGACAAGATGGAGGATGTTCAACTTGTTTTAGATGGAGGACCTAAAGGAGCAGCTTCATAGCTTGGTGGTCCTCCTTGATCCATCTTTGTCACTTGAGGGTCATGTGGCGTTGGTGGCTCAGAGTGCCTTGCATCAACTCTGACTGGTGGCCCCACTGTGCTCCTACCTGATGTAATCTATGCTTCAGGAATATCTGAATTACATTTCTGTAGTGCACTTTACACGGGGCTGCCCTTGAAGATGGTTCAGAAGCCAGCTGGTGCAGAATGCAGCTGCCAGATTAATAACCAGGACCTGCAGGTCTGAACATGTAAGACTGGTTCTGGTGCCCTTGCATTAGCTTCCTGTATACTTATGGTTCCAGTCCAAGGTACTGGATTGTAAACCCTACATGGTTTAGGACCACTATACCTGTTGGGAGTTCCTATCCTAACTGTGATCTACTCATGCCTCTGGCTCATTCCTCTGAGTGCCAACTCCAAGGAAAGTGTAGAGAGTGGCAACTAGGGGGAGGGCTTTCTCAGTGGTGACTCCCTGTCGATGGAATAACCTCCCCGTTTCAGCCTGGTTGGTGCCAAACCTGTCATCGTTTTGGCACCAGATTAAAGCAGCCTTCTTTTCTGAGGCTTTTAAAGACAGCCGCTCAGGTGCTTGAGGGCAATTACCAGGTGTTTGCAAAATCACATTTCTTGCCATTCGTTGAATTGTCTTTGTATAGCCTGTTTTCTCAACTGTTTTTAGCTGGTTTAATTTTTAATGTCTTTTCTGATTTATAATGATCGTTTATTGTATTTATAGAATTTGTTTTTATGGATTGTGTAAACCTCCCAGAGAGTTTTGACTGTGGGCTGGTATAACACTGATGAACAGTTTAGAAGTGTGGTATCGGGTTTATGATATCACCTGCCTTCCATATTCTTGTGTGTAAAGCCAATTTTTATTAAGAGTAGCTTTGCACAGTCTAGTTTTACACAGCATACTGAAGGTGGTCAATCAAGCTAGTGCTTTCCATTTGAGTGGTTCAAGAGAGCACGAAAAGTGATCCCAATAGTTGAAATTGCCTCATTCATAACAGTGTAAAGCCTGAGAATTCTGTTGACTGTTCACCATTGTTGCCCTGAAATAAAAAAAACCCCTCAAGACATCTGGAAGGTCAAAGATGCATATTCAGGAGAAATGGATTCAGTCTTTAACTACCGTCTTCATTTCAAGCCTTTTGCCCTCTGCAAGTAATTGAGGAGATATTGTAGCTAATAAACTTTGAGTGAACAGACATGTAATTTTAGACAATTCTTAACAGCTGACCCAAGTCAAGTAAGTCTGCAGAAGCAGGCATCCTGCATTCTAATAACTCTGCCATTGTATAGAATCCAGCAGAATCAACCAAAACTAGTTGCTCCAGATCATAATATAAAGAATTGTCAAAAGAAGTGTATGAATTTAAAGCAATAACTTGATGAAGAGAAGCTGTGCTGTCTCTTCAGAGGGTCTGTAAAATAATAGCTTCATTAGGCTCTTCCAATATTTGCATTGCACATCATAATAATACCATATAAGACTTGTCTGTAAGAGTCTTTGAGTTTTAAGGCAGAAATTTTTCCCGATTTCTTCTGTATTGTGAGAACTTCGCTGTGCATAAAAGTCCATGGTATATACAGAGACATGATTCTCTTCAAAACTGTAAAAGTCAGTGTTTTACCCCACCCCTTAATCTAGCTCTTAAACTCTGCAGTGGATCTGTGCAAGGTTAACAGACCTTCTTTGGATTCATTTTCTGCTCATTTCATCATTTTTGATACACTTGTCAAAAGCTCACTTATCTCAAGTCATTCTTAACCTGGT